GAAATTAATATTCTGCGCCCCTCTGCAGAAGATCAAAATTGTGATGGCATGTCTTCGGATCATCTTCAGGGGTGTTTCCCAGACCGTTGCCAGTCTCACGACGGTCTGGGAAACATCCCTGAGGATGATCCGAAGACAAGCCATCACAATTTTGATCTCTGCAGAGAAAATAGCTTGCTTCCCTTGCTTCGATAGCATGACGACCTGCGTGCGGAGTCGAGCGCTTTACTGTAGAACAGTTTAACGAGGGCTGACACCGCACACCCTCGTTTCTTTCGCAAGCTGATCAAAGTGGTCTCAAATCCGCTCACTGGTTTCTGCCAGTGATGCTTGAAAAGTGTCTTATCAGTCCACTGTGGGGCACTTCTCGGGTGCGCATGTGAAATTAGGGTTTTGTTCAAAAGAAAGTGAAGTGAGAATGTTAGGTTTTTGTTTGTTTACATATTTTAATGAGGTTAAAGACCCTACCGATACGACGACGATGTTTAATACGGCATTTGTGAATTGAGTGGTTAAGTAATGCAAGTGTAACTTTAAAAATTATCTGTAACATTAATATGCACCATGTCATCTTACATTATAGTGTGTGTATTTATTATAGCTTTGAAATATATAAATGTTATTAATAAACACTACACAATAAATAGTATTATGTAAGAAGTTTCATTTGTAACTTGAAAAAATTTAAAAATTATGATATTGTATTTTTTTTATTGAATCTGCAAGAACTCTTGTTTTAGAATTCTTTTATACTATCACTTAATGTTGAAGGAATTTCAGTTTTCAAAACAATATTTGTTTAAAATTCCACCTTCAACTTTTAAAAAAGATTTTAATCATAACACTATTTTAAAGTGTGAAGCCTAGAACTAAATTCCATGCTTGATATCCTCTGATTTCAATCACTGTTTTAACAATGATTAACTTTATCATATTTGTTGATTACAATCAAAATTTCTTTCAGTCATTTTAACACATTGATTCTATAAATTCAAATGAAATATATTGGGAATGCAAATTAATTAATTGAATGAATATGATATTTAAAAAAAGATCAATATACTTTGAAATACTTTTTGAGAACAATTGATTTAAAACACAAAAATATGCACATTAATATTTCTTATTTCCAGGGGGGGTGGAATTTATGGTGACTAGGACTATCAACAAACAAATTTATCAATTTTGGGTTGTTTTAAAGATTATTCTTACAACTTATGAACAGTTAATAGCTTTTGCTCAATTACAGAGAGATTTTTATCCTCAATTTTCATTAATACAGTTTAAGTCAATGTCAGTTGCAGTTGAGTGGTAGAGTTATATAGATCTTCAACTGTAATTATATTTTTTATTTCGACTCTTATTTATTATGATTAAGATTTTTGGTAAAGTTCTGGGTAATTTGCTTTTGCAGTTTATTTATACGAGTAATTGAGAATGCGAGCAGTAACCAAGAATCACTTTTGCTCGTTCACAAAATTAGCAAAAAATTAACCTGTATTTTATTTTACTTCCTTAGTTGTTCCTGGGGAACCTAGAATAACTCCACCAAAGCCCATAGCCAGGGAAGGAGAGTCCACAGCTCTTACTTGCTCAAGTGAAGGTGGAAGCCCAGATCCTACCATCCGCTGGTACAGAGATGGCGTCCTACTTCAAGGCATGGTCCAGAAAGGTGGCTCCAGGGAAAGGCCTACGTCCAGCGTACTGACCATCACTCCTAGACTAGAAGACGATGATTCTATCTATAGATGTGTTGTTTGGAACAGAGCTTTGAGGGAGGATCAAAAACTTGAAACAAGTGTCAGTCTTAGGGTTCACTGTAAGTTGTATTTTATCCCCTTCTTCTTTTCAAAGTAAACATTTCTTAAACTTTGTCAGCACACCCCTAGTATCAATTTATTTTAGCCCCTGTGGCGCACAACTAAGGTCCAACAAGAACATGCATCGAGGGAATAAAATTGGGATGTCTAGGTTTTGTTGTAATGGGCTCAGGCAATTAATAAGTTCTAACTAGACTGAATAGTGAAAAACAAACTAAATTGGACAAATCAATTTGGGAATTCTATATATCTAAATAAGGTATGTTTTGAGCTACCAATGAATAGCGAGACAACAGAAATAAAGCGCAAAAAAAATATAGAAAGTATAGTTTCGATTCTATAAACAAAAATTAGTTTTAACACAAAATGACATTTTTGTGTTCTAACATTGAAGAAGTGGAAGATTCTTGTTTTTAGAATTGAAAGTATAGTATGTTCTTTTTTTTATGCCTTTGTTTGCGTGCTTAATTTACTCTGTTTTGCTTCATTCAAAATTCTATATATAATAGTTATTTAGGCCAGATACTTGTTGATAACAAGCTCAAAGCAAAAAGTGCTCAAAATTGTTACCAATGTACCTGAATAGTCAAGTTCCTGCAGAACAATTTATGTTTTAAGCAGAACTATTAATGTTGAAGATACAATGAAACTTTATATGGTGTTAAAAAATTTTTTTTCATTATCCCAGAAGTTATATATTAGTTTGATATTTTATTAAGTTTCCTTTTTTCTAGAATTTCAGTTCTTAAAATAAATCTATTCATGACACATAACAATAATAAGATGTGCTTAGTGCTATGTGAATAAAGCACTATCCATTTCTGTGCTTTCATTAGTGCTTTTTCCCCCTTTGTTGCTTTAAATCACTTAAATTGGCTATGATTTGACTAGATAGATAGATTTAGAGGTTGGGCAGCTCTAAAGAGCAGGGCACATCAACCAGAGGTCTATTGTACCCAAACCCTAACCTAAATCATAATGAACAAGAAGGCCTTATGGCTGAAATGAAATTCAGCAAACATCTTACAGAAACATCTTGCAGTTCCCAGGCCTTAATGCAGTGTTATAATTAGACTAATAACAGTTTATTTCTGACGACACCCACAGCACATATAGTTAGTTTTGTTCCTCGGGATAGCAGTGACTTAGAAATTATTCTGCAAAATCCATGAATATTTGTCTTATGGCAATATTAGTTACATTAGTTAGCTACTAGAGACGCAACAAGTTTAGGCTTTACCAGATAATGTGGTTGACTACAAATTGTAATGGATATTCATGTGTTTTACTTGTATTTATGGTTTTAAATTTCTTTCAGATTCACCTAGAATAACTGTGGGGCCCTCTAACCCTTTAAACGTCCTAGAAAATACTGATGCTCATTTAAGCTGCAATGTGATAGCATCACCCCCTGTTCGTTCTGTCAGGTGGTTGAGGAATGGAATGCTGATATCTAACACTCTCAATCATACTATCAGAGGTGTCACATCTGAAGACAGTGGTATTTATAGCTGTATCGCTGAAAATGGCATTGGAGAACCTACACAAGCCAACTTGGAATTATCTGTGCTTTGTAAGTAATGAAATATTTTGATGTTTATTGCTAAATTTTTAAAAATGCATCTTTAAATAAACTGTTATATAGAAGGCAGCCGATTAGTTAAATGTTAATTTAATCCTTTATAATGTTAATTTTGTATCTAATGTATGATTTTCTTATTCGATATCCCGTAAAAGAGCAGATTTTAGACAAGAAAACAATTGGTGAAAAAACTAATTAGGGTGTCAAAAATGTTCAGTCTTTTGAATGATAAAATATTATGAGTATATTGATAGCTTTTCATAAATAATGGAAAACATTTTTTATTGTTCTAAAATTTTGAAGAAAATAATAATTAAAAAAAGACAATTATTTACTCTCCATTGTAATTTATTTGAACTTGTGTGCTTAAACTAAAATATTCTCTAGATAAAAAGTATAAAAAAATTAGGTTGTAATGTTATCTAGTCGTTACAAAAAGATAATTGTTTAAAATGGCATACATCAGGTCTTATAGTTATCTTGATTGATTATCCTGAATGGTTATCTTGATTTAAAACACTCTGAGGCAATAGTTTTAGATACAATGAACAATAAAATAGTTTATAACAAAACTGCAACTGGATGTTATAAAGAGTTATTACTGTTATAACTGTTTAAATGAAGTGTTACAAATATTTAATGAATTTCAATTTTCAGATGGCCCCCAAGTGAGACTTCCAACATATCAGGAAGTAGCTGCTGGCGAACCTCTCATAGTTAAATGTGAAGTCTTGTCTAAACCTCCTCCTCATATGATCCAATGGCTGAAAGAAGGGGATCCGTACTTCAGGCAAACAGGAGACACTCTACGAATTGATAAAATTACTGTAGACGATGGTGGACGATATATTTGCCAGGCTGCCACTTCTTTCAGACCTTCAGGTTCTAACATCCAAACTGAAGCTACAGGAAATGGAACAGTTACAGTTAGAATCAAACGTATGTTAAGAAAATTTGTTTGCTTAACTTTAAAATGTTAAAAAATATTTTTTTCTTGATGGAGTCGAAAACTATGATTACACTTACACATAATTATTTCTATTATTCCATGCTGATTGAAAAGTAAATTAAGCAGTCTTGTAAGTTAGTTTCACAATTAAGACCTTTAATTTTCTGTAACCAAAGAAATTTACTCGACATAAATAAAATACTAAAAACTATTTTGAAGATTACAATTCATATCTGTAAACTTTTTCCAGTTTTAGAATTTACTATTGAATTTAAACTAATATAATGATAAAAAAATTTTCTTTAAATCTATCTGTAGGTCATTTTTGTTAATTTATACAGAAAAATGATTTGTTAAGTGGAATGTAAATTAACTAATCTAATTTTATGATTACAACCTGTTGCTTGTTTAATAACCATCTAATTTTATGACAAACCTGTCTCACTAATTTCTTTCAAACAAAATACATACTGAACAGAATGTGATCAAATTAGTGAAATGATCTGGATGCTTGTAACATGTTAGTTATTGTTGTATATTTTTAGTGATTGTGATATGATTTACTTAATTAAATGTAAATTAATTAGTGTTAACTAATTTATAACCTGTTAGTTATTATAGAATAGAACTTATTATGACCTGTTAGTTATTATAGAATTTTTGAAAGTTACATAAGACATTACAGAATATTTAGTCAAATAAATATATTGATTAAAACCTAATATTTTTCAAAATTCTCAAATCAAAGAATGTATTCTAAATAAAACCATCCAGATTGTAATTAAACGAGTGTAATTAAACGAGGACAACCTGTCAAAATTTAACTTTTTTCTGTCAAAGGGGACAAAAAAAAGGTTTCCTAGAAGGATTTTAAATCCTCTTTCCTGTTATTTTATCTTAACATTGATTACAAAACTGATGAAATTGTTTACATTTCAGATAAACCTGGCCAGGCTGAAATCCATCCTTCTCAACCTGTAGCCATTGCTGGTCGACCGTTTACACTCTCTTGCACAGCACACCCTCTTGGATGGCCAGTACCTGAATACAGGTGGTGGAAAGAAGGCCAGCAGAAAGAAGACCTTACTCAGAAACCGAATTATACCCTAATATCAGCTCACATGAGCCATGAAGGTAGATATTTCTGCCAGCCTTTTAATAGTCTTGGAAGGGGTGGATCAGCATCTGTGTATCTAACTGTGCATGGTACGTATTTTAAATAAAAAATTAATTATATAACCTTAATCAAATTTGTGTAAATTATAATTTTTATAGATTGAAATTACAATTAGATTTTTTGTATCGAATTCAGAGATTCCAATTCAGTTTTCTTCTTATCTAATTCCAATTCTTATCTTATGTTGTTCTTATCTAATTCCAATTAGGCAGTTTTTTTAAAAATCTATTTGAGATATGAATTAGGTTATTTATCTTTTATATCTAGTTTAGGCTTGAATTAGATTTTTCTATTCAATTCAGATTTGAATTAGGTTTTTTTGCACTTATTTATTCAGTACACTTAAATAATATTTCTTACTTTTTGTAAAAATTATGGAATTGTTAATTTTCAACCTAGCTATTAGCCCCAATGCTATTTTAAAATTTTAGATGCCTTTTTTTCATTTAGTTTCTTGTTGTATTATATCTCATAGTTTTGTTTTAATTCCTGTATACTCTTATAAAGTATACAAAATTGTATTGAATTATTTGCTAGCCAGTTGAATCTGAAAATTTCCCCTCAAAGTACTCTTCGATTCATCTAGCATTAATATTAAATGTTACTACTTAATTATTAAAAACAATTCAATTTATGAAAATTTTTGTGAGCCCATATTATGTGAGCCTGTGCTTGCTTTGTATAGTATACTTTTTAGTAACACAATTGATATACCCTTTTAAAAGTACTGAATTGTATTAAATATATTTACTTCTATTACAGAACCAGCATCTATCCTCATACCACTTAGACCTCAAACCATCAAAAAGGACAAAGAAAGAGATTACAGTATAACATGCAGAGCTCGTGGAAAGCCCAAACCAAAAGTCAGGTGGTTACAGAATGGTCAAGAAATATCTGAAGATAGCGGGCTATTCCATATTTCAAATTCTGATAATGTAGAGGACAATAATGCATTCACTGTACAAAGTACTCTGTCGTTTACGGGACCCAGTCGTCGAGAGAATGGCCTCACTCCTGGCGACAGAGGAAGATATACTTGTGAATTTAATAATGGATTTGGCGAGAATGCTAGGTCTGAAATGATGCTCAGAATTGAACGTAAGTTTAATTCATTTATAGACTTCATTATATAAAATATTATGTATGGAAGTATATAATGGCGATATAACTGAAATATATTATATACTAGTATTATATATTGGTATAATATATTAGTATAATATATTAATATTATATATTTAGTATTCATTTTTTATCAATATACTTCTTAAGGTAATATTTAAAAAATATATATAATTATTAGAAAAATTAGCTGGTTTTTAAGAAAAAGCAAGTTAATTCTTTAAATTTTAATTTCTTTTATTTAACACATCTATATTTTATTTTGTTCACATACCTAATTTCTATAACTGAAAAATAATGAAGGAAGCCTGTAAATCTTAGAGTAACTCAAAAGTTCTGGAAAAAAAGGAAATATTTATTCTAAATTTTAAAAATTATTAACTAATCTGCAGAGTTCTTTAGTGCAAGAGCCATGTTTGGCTACACATCAATTCACACTCAGTAAAAGAAATGTTTAAAAAGTATAATTGAATAACTTTTTTATTGCCACTCTTTTCTGTTCCGGGTGATTTCCTAAAATATCTTGACATAATATTTTTTATCATTGTCTGTTCTCCATAAGAGGAGCTACCAACAGTTGATATATATTGTTTGTTTGTTTAATAATGGTAGAACACTAAATGTTTTTTTTCCTACCATTTCTTGCAGTAAAGTAAAATAACTGGTTTCCATAGCTACTGTCCAAACATGTCTACTTTTTAGAGCTCTTCTTATGGTGGTCAAACAGTAATTTGATCAAACATGTACAATTCTTTTCAGTTAATGTAATCAAATAATATATTAATGGCAAACAACTGAAATTGCTTTCTCGTTGCAGATTCCCCTGTGGTCCGACATACGTACAATCGAGTGGCTTTTGATGTGGGAGAGACCGCTGTTTTGCAGTGCAAAATGCAGGCTTACCCTAGCCCAACATTTGAATGGGTTTCGAGAGGACGTGTTCTGGACGAATATGGGAACTATGGTACGAACATCACAGACCTAGGCGAAGACATATATGCTGGTGTTCTCTCTATTCGAGACATGAAGGAAGAAGACTACGGAGAGTACACGTGTAGAGCTTCCAATCAAGTTGGGGATGACAAGAAAACCATTATCAGGCTTGTTAGGAAAGGTAAATAAAAATTTTGCACTCCTATCAATTGGCTTTGCATTGGTTGGGAGGGACAAAATTGAAGCGGATATTGCATTTTCGTCTTTACCACTTTATGCACATTGTCAATGATTTGAAATGTAACTTTTGTTTACATAGAAAATACTGCGAATTTCCTTGAGTTTGTAGGTTATCTGTTGGACAAAGTATGCACTAAGATATATCATAATATTCTATGTCTAGAGCAGGGCATGAAATTTTAGTTTTAAAGGGTATAGCCTAACTAAAATTTTTGTTCATCGCTATTTTTATGTAAAATTTTTACAGTTGTAGTTTTGAAGAACTTTTTGATGGACAAATTGCCATGAAACAGTGTTTCCCAAAGTGTGGTATGTGTACCCCCAGGGGTACGGGAACAGTTTAGCTAGGATACGCGTTCTTTTGCGAAATATCTTGCAAGAAACGAAAGTTTCAAACATTTATATTTAAAAGCAAAGCTAGCAATAAAAATTTATGATTACATATTTTTCTATTGGCTATTTTGTGCAGAGTTAACAGTTAATAATTAGTGGTGTCAACAGCCAGTTGTGATTTTTAACTTTTGTGCAATTTTTTTATAGTAAAGGTTTGTATTAAATTCTACGTATTTTGATTGTTTTTATAAAATATAATTTTTATCCTGTTATTAAAGCAAAAACAATATCAACCATCTCACTGATGCAAATAAACTTATTAACACAACTTTGTACCAAGAAAGAAAAATAAACATTGTGTTAAAAAAAAATATATAAATTTTTTTATTAGTGGTACACAGCTTTGCGAAAAATTTAGAAAGGGTACATAAAAGTCATAAGTTTGGGAAACACTGCCATAAAAGAATGTAGAATCTGAAAATTGCTGAATAGCACAAAATATTATAAACTGTGGCGAATTCTCAGATTTCAGTCTCAGACATCACTTACTCGCCAATCCTAAATATTTGGTCGCTAACTGCAAGCTGACACGTGAAAATGAAATTAATTATATTTATTTTAAGTAGGAATAGCTAAGTCTTAATGCAAATTATTTATTTATTGTTAATTCTTCTTTTATTATTTTAAACAGGTCCTCCTGAGAGGCCTACTCACTTAGAGTTGATAGAAGTTAGTTCAGATAAAGTGACTTTGAGATGGCAAGAAGGATTCAATGGTGGTTTCGCCAACACTGAGTTTTTGGTTACGTATCTCAATACTGAAAATGGTCGACAAATGAATGAGTCCTGTCGGACTCAAAATTTGTGCCAAATCACTGGTATGTATTGATATCACACAAGTTTTTAAATTTGATATTGCTTATGACTTTCATGCATTTTTACTTTTTTAAATTTATTTTGTAAAATGTGTTGCTTATCATGCTAGAACAACACATATCAATGTTAAACAAAAAAAATGATTCTTTTACTCTTGTCAACCAAGAAGTAATATTACTCTAACGAGACTTTAAAAAAATAGACCGAAACTTGCTCATAAACACAAATAATATTCATATCACTTGCGTTTTAGGTATTCTTTAAGTTCCATTTTATAAAATGAGTGCTTTATAATGAAGGAACAGCTGTTGTTAATCAAGTCAAAATTTAAGAGAACAATAAGCTCATAAATGCAAAAACTCACATTACTTAATGTCATATGTTTTAGTCATTTTTTTTATTTATTTTTATAAAATTAGTAGCTTATAAAGTAAAAATAGCTAAAACCAATTAAGTCAAAATTAAAAGGAATAGGCAACCTCAAACAAAAATTCACTAAAAAAAAACATAATTTATAAAACTTCTTTTTGTAATATTTTTTTTTAGGATTTCGAAACATCGTTAAAAATGTTTTCAATGTTAGCATTATTTTTAAAGTAAACTTCAAAAATAATCTAACGATTTTTAACTTGGAAGGAGATTAATTTTTCATTGTTCTTAGGTCTCTCTGCAAATACAGAATATCACTTCAAAGTTTTGGCTGTTAATCCCCGTGGTTATAGTCCATATTCAGAAGAGCTGTCTGTTACAACTAAAGGTACTTAGTATTTAAATGTTCAATGTAGCAGTAGATACATTTTGTATTAAACATTAATTAAATATTTATTATTTAATTCAATATTGATCCATTTATGATTGGAAGCAAAACTTATTTGTGTGTTGTGGATAAAACTTTATCAATTTAATCCTTAATATTGTTTTTTATTTGTGTTTAATTCATTTTAAAAGCATGGAATATTCAGTGCATGTATGTTGAAATCATAGTGTATTTCATGCATGTAAAATATATGTGTGCTCAGGCAAGTTAGACCAATGCATGTTGCTAAAGCTGGTTAGTTAATATAATTGTGATAAATAACAGTTAACTAAATATATGTTTGTATTGTAGGCTAATTGGTAAATCTGGCTATTTGCAAACAGTCAAAATTTCTCGTATTTTGCAATGTGCCATGCTAATTGGAAAAGTCAGTTGTTTCTAATCAGTCGAACACTATTTAGGCTTGTTGCAATGAGCCCAGATGCTTTTAGGCTACTAAGAAAATATAGCATTCATTCCTCAATTAGCCTGATAAATTTCAGGAAGTATGCCAGAATTGTTAAGGCTTATTACAAATTTATTAAACTTTGCAGATTGCCTTATTTTACTATGTGCCATGCTGGTTGAAAAAGTCTCCACTATTTTCTGATCAAACCAACACTTTTTAGATTTATGGCAATGAACCCAGATATTTTTAGGCTCATTCGAAAATCTATAATTTATATCTTAATAAGCCCGATTTATTTCAAGCAGTTTTCAAGAAATCCAGAGCAATGCTTTTTCAAAGTTTACGAAAATTATTTTAATAGTTTCTTTTTCTTTTTTTTTTGTAATTAAAATATAGGCTGATTGTAAGAAATCTAAGAAGTATCACACATACTAAAAAATACTTCTGACTTAGGTGATTAGCATAAAGCATTGTAAAACCCTTGTGACGTTTGCAAATAGACTAATTCTACAATTAGCTTAAGACATACGTAAATAGCTCTCCGATCAAAATTTTGCTTAAATTTTTTAATAAAAACTCTGCATAGTGTGAATACATTAATATGCTTGTTTGTGTTGTATTGTGGCTTTTCATTTATTAGTTGAAATTGTTAGTATAATTCTTAATGTTTCAATTAAGCGATTATAACAATTATAAGATAACAATTATGCGTTTATAATAAACATTTGACCATACAAATTAACAGCTGGTACAAAAATAATTATTCTGTGACGAATTGCAACATGCTTGAAGAAAAGTGTGCAAAGTTTTTTTTTACTTTTGCATTGATCTAACAATACTAACCCTTCAAGGAATTTACAATTTTAAAATTTCCTTTCTTTTTTAAAATAATTGTATTCTTTAATTACACTGCTGTAAATGCTTTTTAAGACTACTTACTAATTTTTATATTTCTTTCTTTTTTTACAGTGAATTTAAGAGGTAAGCATAAGACTTTAATAACAATTACTGATTTTTTTCCCTTATTTTTTTCTTCTCGTAAAACAATTGATATTTTTGTACCAGCTGTTCATATTCCTGTTTTATCATTTAATAGTTGGTGTGCTTAATTGTAGCTTTTAATGCTCTATGTTTTTGATGTTTCTTAAGTGGTAGCTATATTTTTTTTGGTGCTAAATTTAATACTTTCATTGTGCATTTGTACATTTATTTTATTATATTTTTTAAAATTTATGTGGTTTTCTGTAAATTTTGTAATGTCTGGCCTGTTATTAAAATATCTCCAATATCCTATAATCTTTTTTTCTTCCTAAATATTATCATTGATTAATGAATAACGTTAATTTTCTATCTCACAGTGCTAAGTATATTATTTCTAAAAAGATTTCCTTAATATTTGTGAGTTTGAGTATTGCTTACATGGCTTTTAGTTACTTTTTTTATTTAATTAATTTGATGCATTATATGTATTATTTTGCTCTTTGATGAAAAAAATCTTGTAACCTTCTTATTAATTGTTTAGCATTCCAAAAGTTGATTTCTCCTAATACTTGATCTAAGAGCTCCCTTGTCTTCTGGATTGGGTTCAAAATTACAAGGCTACGTAGTTGAACATTAGTAGTTGTATACCCAAAAATTGGGTCAGCTGTTCAACACTGGTTATAAAAAAAATATGTTGGGAAAACTTAATTATTTTTCAATTTAGTTACTAAATAAAAGATTTTCTATAAACACAACTCTTAATAGAATGAAATATGAAACCTTATTAAAATTTTGAAAACAATTTGCACATTAGGGATTGGAAACTAATATTTAAGTGAGTAAGAAAAGGAAAATCATATCAAAATCTAAGAAATTTAAGGACAGCTCCAAAAGCATGAAAACCTGTTTGATTATCTGAGAAAACAAAAGCATGAAAAGCAATTATTAGGAAGCCTTCCAAGTTTCGTCAAGCAATCAAATCGGTTTTAGTTTTTTTCACTCTCTAGTGATTTGGTTTCTTTACCATTAAAGTGTATACTTCATTTCATTTTCAGTAAGAATTCTGAAGTGCATATTAAAAGTCATCATTTACTTATAATATCTACACTAAAGAGTTTAATTGTAACTTAAACCTATGGGAGCTATTAAACCTAATTAGACAATACTCATATCCATAATTTACATTTAACTGCACTAAGAAATATACATATAAAAATGTCTGAAGATCGTAATTGCATGTTTTCTAATAAAAAAGATAAAATCTTATATTTTTCATAATCTTTGTGTTTAGCTTTTCTAATTTTCATATTTATATAAAGTATCTATCTCGTAGTTTATTTGATATAAATATTCATAGTGCATGTGCTTAATAGAATATCTTTTATTGCAGACATGCCAAGACCAACAGAAGCACAATATGATCGTGATACTGGCTATCTTACATTTCATGTTGAATTAAGTTCATTAAAATTGTTGGCGAAGGTAACTATAAAATAACATATATTTTTTAAATAAGTTAAATAATGATGAAAATAATATCATTTAATTTCTCTCAATAATTCTGATAAAAGATATTTTTCCAAATTATTTTAGATCTTCAAATTTATTTAAGTTTTCCATTTGCACAATATGTATAAAATATTCTTATTTTTTTAAGTTACAGTAAATGCTCGATGTAACAAGTATGGTGTATTACAAGAGGTACACTATTGCAACAATTTTTCAAGTCTCTGCAAAAATGATAATATTAAAGTCACAAAAATTAGGAGGACAAACAACAACTTTACAAACAATTATTACAAACTTACTACAATTATGACAAAAAAATTTTTCGAGGGAAAACATTTTTATGCCATTTAAGTGTTCAATTTTAAATGGAAAACAGCAAATTGCGACATTTTTATTTCTGTTAATATTATAGAAAAGTGAAAATGAACATCATATCACCTTATTTTAACCCTTTAGCTTATAATAAGCAAATGTGTGAGCGTCTACGGGCCTAGTTGTAACTTTCTTTACAAATGTTTCTCTTAGGAAACCTGTGAAATACTTAAGAAATTGAAATCAACATTCTGTATTATCAATGATGTTGAAAACTTAATTTTATCTTTTAGTCTAAGCTACCCCAGACCAGGTTGTAATTTTTATTAAACAAGTTTCTTTTAGAAAACCTGCCAAACACTTTGAAAGAATCCTTCTTTTACAAACTGCTGATTATAATTCCTGACAGCTTAAAGTAGAAATCAACATTCCATGCTATCAATCACTTCAAAAACTACTACTGCATTTCATGTTATCTTTTAGTCTTTTTTACTGCTATTTTATGTTGTGTATTTGAATATATTGATAATTCTACCTGCTACTTTGATTTATCAAAATGGAATTAATTTTATTTTATTTATATTTTGAAATTTCAAATGGTTCTAATATTTATTTTTCAGATTGAGGCTAGACCTGTGGGATCAGAGATGTGGGTCCTACAGACTGTGATCTCGGTCATTAGACCCATAGAGAAAGTGCAGTTAAGCCCTCCTGATGAGGGATTTTCTGATGTGCGTGTCAAACTTTGTCTTGATAGTAATGACTCTTGGTGTGGTGATGCCAAATTGGCAAATCCTTTTGAAGGTAAGCTAAAGAAGAAGAAAAATTATATAAAGAAAAATCACACAAATATAAGATATTTTTTAAACATGCTTCAGGGTACGTAGAGTTTTTAAAAAGTGCTTATTTTTGATTTGCATTTTTTAAAAGCCCTTAAAGATGCTTTTTTTTATTGGATGTTCTTAAAAAGTGTTAAAATTTTCCTTTACCCTGTTGATTTTTGCCACATATTATGCAAAAAGACTCTGTTCATATTGTTGTATTCGACGTTTTCACAATTAATTCGACCCCAATATATTTCAATGTACCGTCGGTCCTTAGCGTATGAAAACGCCATTCGTTTNTATTTTTGATTTGCATTTTTTAAAAGCCCTTAAAGATGCTTTTTTTATTGGATGTTCTTAAAAAGTGTTAAAATTTTCCTTTACCCTGTTGATTTTTGCCACATATTATGCAAAAAGACTCTGTTCATATTGTTCTATTCAACGTTTTCACAATTAATTCGACCCCAATCTATTTCAATGTACTGTCGGTCCTTAGCGTATGAAAACGCCATTCGTTTAATCTTTCAAGATGCCATAATTTTTGACAATTGTCAAAAACAATGCCAATTTTTATTTTATTTTTTTGACATGACGGTTAAGTCTGGATAAAACCGTCAATTGTCAAAAACTTGCCAAACCTGCCAAATTATATTTTTTGAATAGTGCTTATTTTTTGTTGAAAAATTTGGCTACTTGAATAAGTTTTAACTAGGAGGCATAAGTAAATGTTAATATTAAGTTCATGAAATATTAAAATTGGTGAAGCGATTCTCCATGTGTAAGGACATGTAATTATTATTTCTAAAAGCTCTTAAAATTTTATTTAAAAGACATTATTCATTCTATATGATTAATGTGCTTGAATAAATTCTGAGATGAAAGAAAACAAAACTATATTATTACATCTAGTAATATGTATATTACTCAAATTGGTGATAAAATATATCCAAACATTAATAAGTTTCGTGCATAAGTATTCCTAAAATTAGAAAGATTGCTACGTAGTTAGTTACAATTTTTCATAAATTTAAAGTATAAGGATAAATTGCCATTATAAATCTGTTATACTTTAACCTTCCAAGCATTGAATGCCTGGAAAAATCTGTACAAAAATTATCCTCCTGTGCAATATTTTTCTATTTAAATACCATTATGGAACAGGTTTTTTGTAGCAGGAAATGAAAACCTGCATCTGAAAGTTCGGAAAAAGCTGGTACTAAGAGCATCAGCATTAATACTACAGAGCTCAGAGCATTAATACTTTTTTTAATGTTCCTGTTAAATTAAGAGTTCATTAAAAATTATGTCTTGTAAAAGAGTTTCCATATTAATATTTATTATTTCTAGTAGAAGAGTTAATAATTTTTGGTGGAATAGTTTCTATATTTTAATTACTTTAGAGTTATATATTGTTTCTTTCCATGTTAATAAATTAAAATGCTAATTTTTTTTTATAAATTAGTTTCCATATTATTACTTTCTACTGTTTCTTGTTGTAGCGTTATTAATAATTTTTTATAATAAAACATTAATGCTAATTGTCTCTTGTAAATGAGTTTCCATATTATTAATAATTTATTGCTTCTTGTAGAAAAGTTATTAATAATCTTTAGAACTGAACACTAATTGTTTTTTATACAACAGTTTCTGAATTTTTATTAATTTATCTTTAGAGTTATTTTGTATCTTGTAAAATTATCAATATTTATAGATTAAAACGCTAATTGTCTCTTGTAAATTACTTTCCATATTATTAATATTGTTTTTTTTTTAATAGAAAAGTCATTAATAGTTTTTTATTAATATGCCTTTAAAGTTTTTTGTTTATTTGTAAAATTATCAAAATTAATAGATTAAAATTCTACTTGTTTCTTGTAGAAGAGCTTCCAAATCCCAAAGATTCTAGAGCTGGTTTACCAACTGAGGCTGTCATGATAAGCATTGTTATTGGAGGTGTTGTATTTTTATTGGTTATCATTTTGAGCATTTGCTGCTGTTGGAAGAAGAGAGTAAATCACAAAGGTAACTCTAAATTTCCTCTATTCTATATCATAATTAAATAATTTACTTATTGTACAAGTATTACAATAGTTCATTTCAAATAGACTAACTTATGGTTACCTTTTATTTTTAGTTATTTTTTTTTCTAATAAAACAAGATTCATACTTTCCCTAACACTTCGATTAACGTTCTTAATTATAAATTTTTAAAAAAAATCAGATTATTTAAAACTTATGAAATTGGAAAATTATGTAAAATTTGACTGAAAAATTATAGGCAATACAATCTTGTTTACTTTTATGGAACTTAAATATAAAAATATATCCGGAATTTAAAATATGTAATGATTTTTAGTATCTTTCTGTTAGATGCAATGAGATTTTTTAAAAGAAAGAATTTTTATATAATGTACAGTCACTTTTTCAATTATTAAACATAACTGTGTATTTTTGATAATTTTAATTTCTAACTTAAACTTTTATATGAAGTTACATGTTATATGGGCTTTCCTAACTTTGATTTGATTTATATCATTGCTATTGTAGGGTTAAATAAATATATTTTATAATTTCATTTAAGCTCATACTATGTTATTAGTTTTGCACATCAATGAATGCATATATCTATCTAAATATGTCCTATATCTTCAATATTTTTTATTACTTATATGCAATTTCATAAATTATTTTTTTAAAAAAGGTGCATGTAAATTTACTATTTTATTTTCATTTTAGAAAAGAAAGATTTTGAGATGGAAACAACAAAGTGAGTAACATTATTTCTAAAAAAATGTGTTTAAATGTTACTTGAATTTAAATTTTGATTCTTTCTATTATTTTATTTATCGAAGCTAATATAATTTAATTTTTGTCATACAATTTTGCAAATAGAAATGACTTCTTTCATTGGTAAAAATCTTTTATGCATTATAATATTGAAAATATATTGTTAATGTTTCATTTTCATAATAATAACTTAATTAAATAAGGCGCTTTAAATTTTCCATAATTAAAACATTTGCTACTTCATATGAAAGTGACAGTTTAAAAAAAATGGAATGATTTTTGCGAAGCTCTTTACAAATATGAGTTGCATGTGCAAGTATGTATTGCATAAAACATATTGAAACAACAAAATTGTGAAGAGTAGGAACATGGTGTGTTTTCTAAAGAAATAGTCAAATATGACTTAATATCAACATATTATGCTTGCATGACAAGAAAGCTAATGTTGCTAAGTATGCAGCTAAGAGATTCACTGAATTAAACTTAAATTTTGTTCATTATGCTAGATTGATTATGATTATGATGTTTTCTACGCTAGGATGTGCTGCCAACTCTTATATATATTGTCTCCTATACTTTCGGGTTACTCTTTCCAGTGTGTTTCGAAGCCATTTGAATCACGGCGTGATCATTTTGTTTTGAGACTCTCTTTAGTAATATTTCTTGCATATTGCAGTGTTTATTACTGTATTAATTATTATTTTTTTTAAAGTGTTATAAAACACGTCATACCTTGTCAACAATATACCTACTTCGGAATTTAAATCTAAATGATAATTTGCGAAAATTAACTTAATCTCGCTGCTCGAAGTGCATGCAAACGTTAACTTGTGATGGGGCACGGCTTTTAACAAGAACAGTAATAAACAAGTAAAAAGAGGCCAAATCAGGTCTGCCAAATAAGCAAGTTCTTACTAAATCTAGCAACCATGTCACCTTTTTTAACAATACATCTATAAATTACTAAAACAAATTTTCCAGGATTACTTAATATCATTAATATCTTGTGAAATACAGCAGATTTGAGCTCAGAATTTTTTATAATTTACTATTATTAAAAACAAATTTATCTGTTTGAAAATATCGCCTCGCAGAATAAGCTGTAGTAAGCAGCTATATACTTTCTAACAGAAGGTAAAGCAGGTCAAGACCTAGATTGTTGTTGTTGACATTTGTATTGAAAACACTATCCATATGTAGCATTTAAAAATCCTTCTAAAATCAAACAAAAATTTTGGTGATTAGTTTTTTACTTATACCTCACCACTCCACCTATTTTTTTCCTCTTCAGCCTATTAAAGAAAAATCAAGTTGTTCTTTTCATTGGTTCTTCACTTACTGCCCTGTAAAGCATTGCTATAACCTTTTCTCTTGTTTTCAGTCCTAGACCAAAGGCTGTGACGCCACCTTACTTCCCAGACGGGGTTGTGAACAAGGGATTGGAGAGCGTGACGGACGACATGACAAAAGCAGGTATCTACACCACCAATACATCTGGCATCAATGGAGGGATCAATGGCCATATACCTTCTGGCAGTCACCTCAATTCTGGTGAGATCCTTAATTCTGCATCTCTCTGACGGAGTTGCAACACAACTTTTCTTGCCTTTTCTCTGCTTTGGCCATTCATCCTGCCATATATCTCAATGCTCTCTTTTTCTCTCTCTCTTTTTCTTAGTATACTTTTAGTGAAATATTAGTTATCTACTACTGTAGTTAGTTATTCTATGGTGACATTGTTTAGCTTTCTTTTTGTGTTTAGTATTTGCCTTTAGATGAACTCTTGTATAAATGGTTTTTCGAAGCTCTTTTGCCAAGCAAAAATTTTTTTAAAAAAAAAGCAACAGTTTAGGTGTTTTCTAATTGAGGAAAAAGAATATATTTCTAAACTAAATTCACCATCTTGCTGTAAATAACTGAAATGCTTTAAAAGTTATTAACTTTTAAAGCATATTTAAAAACTGACAGTTTGGAGAGATTTTTCTGCCTAGATGAAAATCATGAAAAACTAATTTTTATGAGCGTATGAGAACAATGCAGCGTTTTAAACATTCACAAATGCTTTTCATTTTCATAACATTGGAGTTTTTCTTCATATTGACATTTTGGGCACTTTCAGATAAGTAAATCTTGAGCTAACAGTCATGAATAACTGTTGCAAACTCACAACAGTTATGAAAATAACATATTACTCACAAAAAAAGTGTTATTTCTTGCAAGGATAGAGCCTTAAAAAAACCTTGAGCAAAGTATTCCTTATTTATGGATCTTGACAAACACAAAATATATACTTGATAACACAAAATATGTATGTTTTTAGTACAAGAAAACTGTTAAGTGATATTTTAAAACTCTTTACTTCTCAGTATAGGAACTTATCAGTAAATCATTTATCGGTGAATTATCAGTAAATCATATTGATTTTGTCAAGTTTACTAATAAGTCAGCCTACAATAGAATGTAAATGTTATATAAAATCTTTTGTGCATTTATTATCCAAGAGCTACTCTTCTAAAAATGTAGATTAAAAATAAGTTAAATAGAAGCATAAAATGATACACTGATTGAGGTACTGAGCTGTCATTGCCACCACTAGGGTTCTAACCCTAGTGGTGGCTTTAAGGTCACTCAGCTTCAGACCAATGGGTATCAGCTTGTTTGGGTACAATATGTAATGCTGGACACTTCACCTTTACCACCATCATGCTGTTAGTCTCAAAATGATGGAGCCTTAACCATTAGTACTTTAGCAAAGGAATCTTACATTTATAACTTTTGCAACGAGTTGCTAATTAATGTTACCGATACTCAACACTGAACAGTAGGGAAGATTTTTTCAACTGTATTCAAATATCACTCAACATGTTCTTCTACGTAGCTCTTTATTGTGTTCAGAGTTACTGATCTGTATAATTCATGACAAATATGAATGTTATAGATGTATGAATGTTTATATTTATAATATTCATAAAGAGGATGATGTAAAATTTTAGTGGGTTATCAGAATTATATAGAACTTTAAAAAATTATTTTCCACATAATACCATCACAAAGGCTTGTATCATTACATCAAAATTTATAATAAACATATTTGAATTAGAAACTATATTAAAAAAATCAACATGTAAGTAAAGTAATTTTAAACACCATTTGTCTCAACTTAAACAGTTATATAAATTTTACTAACCATAAATTATGGTTCTGAAATAATTTATTAAAAATTTTAATATTTGATATCCATCCAATAATTTAATTTATAAACTTTTTTTTTACTGGGGCTCAAATTATTTTTTAGATACGAAATCAATTTACTTCTTTCAAAAGAAATTTATTTACCTATGAGTAAAATGAATGTGACCAAAATGGAAAAATTACTAACCCATTCGCAAAATTTTTATAGTGATAAGGTAAAAAAAAAAGTTCAATAGTAAAATCAATTAATTTTCATAACATATTAATTTTTCAGTACAGAAGAAACAAACTTTTAAGTAATTACATTTTATTGTTCATTAGTGATATGTTGGACAAGAAATTCATTACTCACACCATTTACTATTCATTTAGGAATGATGTATAATCCAGATCCTGATACTAGTCCCTGTAGTGCCCTAGATCATTCAGAACCCTGGTTGAAACCAACAGACGAGCTTGGAACAGAAGGTTCCTATCAGCCTTATGATTCTAGGTTACCTAATGGTTATTTTTACCCAGAAGATTATCAACCTTTAACAGAAGATTTAATGAACATTAAAAATAGAGACCATATACGTAAGTTAACGAACATAATTACCGTAATTTGTGTTGCTTTTAATTAGTTTTATTAAAAGTTAATTATTTTATATATTTTGTATGCAAAATCATATGTGGAAAAAATAGTTCAACATTTTTTCAGCCTTATAATTAAAAACTTGATTTGAGTAGTTAAGGCAGGTATTTTAATTGAATTAACTGAAGAGGTATGTGCACTTGATATTAATTCCCATAATTGATACCAAATGTTTTTTTCCTAGCTGATTTTGTAGTGGTTCAATTGAATCCATTTCACAAAATTTACTTTTTTATTTAAATGCATTTAATTTAGGCTGCTTTACCTTTTAAAATTAAACCGAATTTCAAGTTTTGGACTTTAATATCAGTTTTAAATTCAAAGAGACATTTATAAAATTTTAAATTATTTTCGGTATTATAGTACTAATGTTCTATGCATTATTCGTAGTATCTTTAATTTTTATAACTTTCCTAATAAATCTAAATTGTTAAAAAAAGAGAAATTAATGTTTGATAATTGATTGCAACCATGGGTGCAAGTCTTCCGTCCCCAGGACGGATTCCCGTCTTTCAAAAATGTCCGCGGACGGAAACAAGACTGACTCGCAGACGGAAATCGGAATTTTTTTTCCCTGTCCATAAAAATATTTCTTAGGTCTACGTTATTGGTCTATTTTCTTATGTCCTGTTGTTATTTTATCAAAAGACAGATGAATAAATATTTTTTGTACAGTATTTAATCTTGATGTATTATGGTAAAGCTTTCTTAGATAGTTTGCATACGTCGAGGGGGTATTGTGTATGTTAGATATTTCAGTCAAACAATTTTCAGTCTTGGCCTTTTTTCCAACTTGCACCCATGATTGCAACACATAGTATTTTCAGAGAGATTTAAAAATATGTAGCTCATAATTCATTTTCATTTAAAAACAAACTGTATGTATCATGTAATTAAGCTAGATTTAAAACAAAATTATTTGTTGCATACTAATACTCTAAATATGCTCACATTCTAATTGATATGTGCTTAGTCCAAATGTTTTTTTCTGCACAATTAAATTGCGTGATTTATTCTTGTAGCATCTTTAAAACATAGTTTTTTTAGCAATGAGAAAGCAAATCCTACTGTTTTAAACATATTCAAAAATTCTTTTAAAATTTATTTTCTAAACTGCTGATTTCCCTTTTAGATTCACCATACTACGATGTGAGTGGTCTGCCGGATCCATACGCCATGGGCGAGGAAGACAAACCACAACACATCTCCCTCTCGTACGACGAGAGTCATGAAAGTGGCTACTCCACACCTAACTCTAGATCGAGGAGAGTCATTCGGGAAATAATTGTCTGATGTGTTTTTCCTTTTGGGTCTTTGTTTTTAAAGACCAGTGTAATATAAACTGTGATAAACTGACAGTTGAACCCTGTCGTCTACAGAAAATAAACAAAGGTGCCGGCTGCCCAACGAGTGGCCAATCATTTTTTTGCCATTCCATGTACCAGGTGTCATGGAACAGCCTTCAAGAGTCTATAATCACCTGTTGCATTTTTTGTGCAAGGGTGTGGCGCCCTCTATCACCTCACTCCGTAATGGAGCTGATTTTTCAACTTTTTGCGAAAAAAATGAACCTAACCAAATCTAGGATCAACATAGTGGAAAAAAAGATAGTGATTTAATAAATTGGACAAGCCTGTTTCTATTGTATAATTTTTTTTTGTTTTTGTCCTCCGGGTGAAACCAGGCTTTAAATTTGCCGATGCACAAGTCATTTTTGACTCGGTTGGCAAGGTTCCAAGCTGCTCCCTGGCTTGGATATGTATATAAATTCATAAGAGTATTCATATGAAGTGTATATAGTGACTGGAAAAAAGGAACTGAATATCTGGAACATTTTATTGGTTTGAAATGCTACTTCATTGCCTTAAGAGAGACAGAGCTGTATTGTGTCAAAATACTTTGTCTGTATATATGCTTTATGTAAAAGAAATGCACCGATGTTTAATCTTGAAGGAATTATTGGATTAACTCTTGAGTAGCAGTATTTTTTCTTTCACTGCAGCAACCAATGCAAAGCGGAAAAAGTTAGCATGATTTGAAAGATTAATCAAAGCTTTCAGAAATGATGCTATGTGAAAGAAAGTAAAAAAAATATATTAAGTAATGTATTGGTGTTTTTTTTTTTTTTAAAAAAAAACATGTAGAAACATTATACAAACTAATTGATGTTGAAATGAGCTATCACACATTCTTAATTCAGGAGGGCTGAATTTTTTTTCCAAAGTGCAAACATAATTTATTTAAGTATGAAAAAATAATTTTTTTTCTGTTATAAAATTCAAAAAAAAATTCATTTGATAGCAAATAATTAATAATTTTACATGCAACATATTTATTTTCATTATTTAATGAGCTCAGTGCAAATCTTTTCTCAACAAAATCATAATAAAATAATTTTATAATTTCACATTCTTATAATAAATTTTTCCAGTAACAATAATTAATAAAAATTATTAACCTATATTGCTAATATTTTTCAATTTATTTTAGCACAATTTCTCAAAATTTTGAACGTAATCTTACAAAATATGCTAAGAGCTAATGGACTTTTGTAGTGAAAGAAATTAATATTCCCATAGAGTTAATCTAACATAATGCTACAAAAATATGAATCCAGGTAAATTCATTGACATCTTGTCTCAACCATTATTGAAGAATTAAATGGGAAAAAAAAAGTTGTCTTTTAAAGAACCTGCCCGCAATAAGCATTAACCAAATTAGAATTAAAGATACTGAAATTTTATGTCATATTCTAAGATGTTGATGCATTTTAAAACAAATTGTTTCGTTCGTATAACAATTAAACTTAACTCGTTTTTTCCCCCCGCTATGTCCTTTAATCGTTAGCTTTCCCTTGTCACTTATGACTCTTTTTGTGAGACAGTAGTTAAGTAAGGCAAGATTGAGTTAATGATATCACTTATTTATGACTGTTTATTTCTTTTACATAGAGTATAGTACCTATTTCATTTTTTGAATTTGGTACCAAAAAAGTAAATGGCATTTATAATCTGATGTTGATACTACATGAAGTGAAAGATGCAATTAATATTGTTACTGTTCATATTTTGTTGTTGACCAAAATATATATCAATATTCATCAATGCAATAAGGATATACCTGTATCAATTATACATATTCATTTTTAAGCCTTGTTAAATAGAGAGCGGTCGACTCTATATGTTTGTCATGTTATGGATAGTAAATTATCCTTAACTTGAGTATGAACTGTGATATAGTCACATGAGTCCTGCATATTTAAATTGTACTCCATACTCTTACAAAATTATGGAAAAAACTTAAGTGCTTCATCTTTTTCTGAAAAAATTTAAATTGAATTTGGACTTTTTTTAAATATTTAATTTAAAATAAACATTTAAAGATTGATTTCAAATACTGGTCTAATAAAAATGCATACATTTAATATATAAAAAAAAATGTAAATACTATTTTCTCAATTCTAAATACCTAAGGAAAAAAATTTATTTATTCTGTAATTAATATAGATATTTTTAAAAGACTGATCTAACTGATGAAATCATAATGATCTGTTATAAATATATATACATTTTCAACTACGAAAGTAGCGTTTACTATTTTAAACAGAATCTATTGATAATTTTATTTATGTACTTTTTCTTGAGAATGAAACAGCACTATATTAATTAAATAATGATAACATGGCAGTGATTTTTTTTAATATACTAAAAAGGCTTTAATTTTAATTTACTTAATGTCTATCAGGGGTGCAATCAAATCACATTAAAAGCTAGATATAACTGCTATAATAAATGGACAACCAATTATTTTTTTTTTAAATAATCAATTTAAATATCACTAAAACATTTAAAATAATTATTTCAATTAGTTATGCTAACCATATTAAAATAAACTAACTATAAATTACGCCACAATAATTCATTTTTATGCTCTTAATTACAATACAATTTTTATATATCCGATACCTTCCTGAATTTTAATTATTTTAAAAATTGTTACTAGCATTAATAAATTTAAAATATCTTGATTAACTATACTAATTACGTTTAAATATAATAACTTAAAATTTATATAATGATAATTTCTTTATATGCCCTAACTAATAACAATAAAATTTTGTTATTTGTAGAGATGTACTCGGCACCATGGTTATCCTGCCCGATTTTCATTATCCGGACCCCACAAAAGTTTCACTACCCTGTGCCAGGTACCCAGAGTTTTAGTCGCAAGTATCGGCCAATGTAAACAGGGGTCTATGCAGCATAATACTCATTTTGTTTGACACGGCCATATTTAGAATTTTAATAACCTTGAAATTATTCATATATTTTTTATTCGTACCCGGACCTGCATTAATTTTAGGGAATCGGTACTCATCTAGTTATTAGTTACTTTCCTGAATTTTAATTATTATGTCTTAATATAAAATCATGCAAAAGTGTAAAAAAAAAATGCTATTCAAATGATTAAGCAAATAAGATGTATAAAATCTTCATATTCGGTTGTGCCCCTGATAATTAAAAACCTGATACAAGAAGCTGATACATTTCATTAAATTTTAATTTAGTTCCTATATCAAAATATAGTAGAATGACTATGTGTGCTAAATGAAAATATAGTGGCAGAAGCCGACTACCAGAAGAGAGATATATTTACAGCTCACTACTGAGAGTGTCTATTTACCGTCCATAAACACAACAAAAGAGAAGAGTTGTATATTTTGAGTAGTTTTGGTGCATACTGCGAAAATATTTGTCAGTTGTGTTGGCACGCCATTTCATTTGTAAACTACATAGGTGCTGTTGGGGACACAATTTTGAAAGTGAAGAACTCATTGCTAGGAAAATAAATATTTATATTACGCTGTCATTATCACAAATAGCAATACATTAATCACTCTTTATTGTGTGGAAATTTTTATTTTCTCTTTATTATGCAAAGCTAATAATGAAACCGTCCCGTAATATCAGTATTTTGTACAAAAAGATACCTTTACTTCCTCTTGTTAATAGAGAACAATATTTATGCCACATATCCTATTGTTTTCATATAAATCATACCTGCCTTTTCATATTATTTTTGACCCTTTTAAAAATTTTCTTTCCCCTTTTATGCTCTAAATTAATAAAATGTATATTTATCATCTTTCATATTGTTTTGCTTATGGTTTTCTAGAAACTGAAATATTGTAGGAATTTATTACAACTTTACTTTGTTTTGGTTTATTATAAACTTACATAATGTAGAAATTAATTGAAATTTTCCTTAGCATTACTTTGCTTTATTAGAATCAGACATAATATTAGAATTTATTAAAACTTTCCTTAATATTGTTTTGCTTAAGGTTTATACAGAAGGAAAGTATATAGAAATTTGTTATAACTTTACTTTATGGTTGATTGGAAACTTATAGTACCTATTCACTTTTTTTACTGACTATTTCTGCGTATTTGAAAGTTTTGATTCTCTCTTAATTTTATTTTTATAATTTCAAAAAACAAGAGATTATTAAGTTTAAAATAATTAAAACAAGATATTTTTAAAAAAATTTCCAATACTTAAAACGAACTTTTTTGTATTATGTTGACAGAATATATGTGGTGTATTTTTTAAAAAAATTACAGACTGAAATTTTTTAACACTAATGTCAGATAATATTCCTTTCATTTTTTAAAAAAAAAGTCACTTAAAATTTTAATCATTAATAAGAATCTAAGTTTATTAACGGTGAAAAGGAGATTTATCTTCATTTTAAAAACCATTTTATTTTATCAAGGCAGGTATGGTTTTTTTTTTAAAGAACTTCTTGTTGCTTTAAATAGGAATGCTTGAGCATATTAGCCTCAAAATGCTTATGTGATGATAATATTAACCTATATCCTCTACCTTTACTTTATTCATATTGTCCTACATCCTCTGTCTATATTTAATTCATGTCGTCCTATAGTAATTTTAAACAATAATGCTCAAGTTATTGAAGTGGTAACATTGTTATTTTATTTGTCATGCAATCAAACTTTTGTTTTGATCTCTTTTTATTGTTTGTGAATGAATGTTGTAATTTAACCAAGTCATGTTTTTGAATCTCTGACATTGTTTTTTTTCCCCTCCTCCATATGTCATGAATGCGATGATTCACACTTTAAAATATATTGTATATAGATATAAATATATATATACATACATATATCCTTTGTGTTCACTGTTTGTACAGTCAGATCTCCTCGCCTTGTGTTTGTTTTTTTAAAAAAAATAAATATGAATTTCTTTTCTTTTATGTCTTTATTTTTCTTAAAATAATATCAACATTAGAAATTGCCTGTGATGTACAGAGGCGTTTGAACACACGGGCTTTAAGGCTTTAATTTTCTAATTTAGCCGCCTTTAACAACGCACTCTCCTGCTTGGTATTTTCTTCGAAAAACTTTATTCTTCACTGTTCAGGTAACAAATTTTATAAAAAATGAAAACTTCCTTTTAATTGCAACAAACTACAGCCAAGAGGAAAATCTCCAAAAAAGAGAGTTTGTCGTTAAAGGCTGCTGAATTGTAAATTGGCACCCGGGGTAGACTTCAATTTGAAGTTATGTTAGATACCCTAGTACTGTTGAAGTTATGTTGGATATGCCCTAATCAAAAAAAGGGAGAGAAAGCAAATTTTTATTTATTTTTTTTAAAGAATATCGAAAAAAAATCTAAGTCTATATTTTAAATTTACCTGCATGAAAGTATAAATTATTCAGGGTCAAAAATTTATTATTTCTAAGAAAATAATCTTTTTTTTCTTCAAAGAATGGTTAAAGTTTAACGATCTAAATTAGGATTTAAATTAATGAAAATTATTTAAACAATAATTGTGTGAACAAAAATATTACACAAATGAATATTATGATAATTATTAATCTCAAAATTAATTTATTAAAAGTTTAAATGTTTTTATTCTAAATATGATTGAACAATAAAAGTGACAAAAAAAGCATAATACAAGTACAAAATTAAGTTACAGATATACTTTTAAATAATAAAGTTCATTGCGCATAGTTAATTGTTTTTCTTTTTCATTTAAATCATATATATATTTATACTTAATAACTGCATCTAAATTATTTAGTTGTTCTAAAATTGTCAATGTATTTTATTATTCAATTATTCGAAACTAATCAGCTAAAAAATGAAATTGCATTTCTTTTTAACAGGGTGCGTAACCAAATNTAAAGTTTAACGATCGAAATTAGGATTTAAATTAATGAAAATTATTTAAACAATAATTGTGTGAACAAAAATATTACACAAATGAATATTATGATAATTATTAATCACAAAATTAATTTATTAAAAGTTGAAATGTTTTTATTCTAAATATGATTGAACAATAAAAGTGACAAAATTAAGTTACAAATATATTTTTATATAATAAAGTTCATTGCGCATAGTTAATTGTTTTTTTTCCCCTTTAAATCATATATATATATTTTTTTTATACTTAATAACTGCATCTAAATTATTTAGTTGTTCTAAAATTGTCAATGTATTTTATTACTCAATTATACGAAACTAATCAGCGAATAAATGAAATTGCAATTGTTTTTAATGTAAAGACACAGAAGTAATTTGTCAGTATGATGTCTAATGAGAAGCAAACTGACATAGATTGAACATAAAAAAAAAAAAAAAATCAATAATTCTTTGCATAGCGGATATTTTTTCATTTTTTATATATAAAAACTACATATTTAATAAGTTTTAATCACAATTATTTTTTTAAAAAAATGGGTGCATCGAATATATATTTATTCATAGTAAAAGGCCAAATTATTTTATTTAGGATGGTGAAAAATAACTTAATCACAAGTTACACTGCACAATGCATGTTCATCCCCCCCTTCTCTTATAAGTGAATAAAACTTTCATATTCAATGATATCTGACTAAAAAATAACCAAAAATCACAGTATATATACATAAGAGGTTTTAGGTATACATTTAAAAGTTTCATTATCATTGAAATCAAACTTAAAAAATTACAACCTTAAAACTACATATTTACACTGCATAAAAATATATAACTTAAAAAAAGAAAGAAAAGATAAAGTGATTTAATTAATCATGGCTTATTAATATTTAAAATTTATACTAAGTGAGAGGATATGTGTGAAAGATTGATAGATTTTTCCCCAAAAGATAATCAACCTTTAACAGGAGATTTAATGAACATTAAAAATAGAGAACATATACGTAAGTTATGTTTTTTAAAGAATATTGGAAAAGAAAATCTAAGTCTAAATTTTAAATCTATTTGATTGAAAGTAAAATTATTCTGGGATGAAAAATCTAATATTTCTAAGAAAATAATCTTTTTTTTTAAGGAAAGTTAAAAGTTTAATGATCTAAATTAATCTAATGAAAATTATTTAGACAATTAATAATTATATGAACAAAAATATTACTCAAAGATTATGATAATTCTTTAACTCATAACTTATCTCAAAATTAATTTATTAAAAGTTGGTATGTTTTTATTCTAAAAATCATTGAGCAATGAAAGCGATAAAAAAAGCATAAGTACAAAATAAACTTACAGATATACTTTTAGATAAGTTCTTATTGATTAAGCATACTTAATTGTTTTTCATTTAAATCAGATTTTTTTTATTTAAAAAAATATTATTTAATAACTGCATCTAAATAGTTCAAAGAGTGTAAAATTATCAATGCATTTTATTACTCAATTATTAGAAACGAATCAACGAATAAACCTACATTCGAATTTCGCGTTTTGTAATAATATTGTACTAAATTTATCGGGATTGGAAAAAAAAAAAAGAACACTTGGACTTAAAAGGTAGCAACTACAAAAAAGATAAATAAACATGATAACATGAATTGACGCAGAAATCGGCACAAATAAAGGACGTCAAAAGTGATGATTTAAAATGTGAAAATTACAAGTCGTTATAATGTCGGATTAGAAAGAAAAAAGAATATCAGGATTTCCGAAGCCCCGGTATAAAATCCTAGGAATAACTTTAAAAAACAATTTCTTTTAAATATATATTTGCGATTAAATCGGCATAAATAAAGCGCACGTTGAAATGCACAATTCAAGTGTGATATTAATATAGATAAAAAATATCGGGATTTGCAAAATCATGTCAACATGCGTAGGTGGAAAGAAAACTGAAAAAAAGATTGGATTTACAATAAAATTGACACTAAGTAAGTACTTCTAAGTGATTATTATTTACATGATTCGAAAGTCGCGAATCGTTATATGATATTAAAAAAAAGATCGGAATTTTATAAAACACGTGGAAATCTGACAATAACCTTGAAAAGTTCTCTTGGAATAAACAATGAAATGGACTTAAATAAGGAGTTTTAAAAGTGATTACTAAAATTCGAAATTCACGCATCATAATCTTGTCATATTAAAAATATCGGGATTTTTAAAACTACAAATCCGTAGTCATAATAATAGATTTGGAGCGTCAAAAACTTAAATGAGCAATTCAAATTTCCTTTTTTTTATTTTTCAAAAAAGAATTATAAAAGTTTCTTTTCTTAAGATGTTCTTATGCTGCAGGATGTGATTTAAGCCACTTCTTATATTATATATTTATCTCACGAATTAGAAGAGAATAACATCAGAAAGTGAGTTATTTTACATCGAGAATTGCACGAGCGTTTTTATTTATTTATGTTACCATTTTTTTACGTTCTTGTCGGTGAGGACAAAAACGTGTAAATCTTTCTTAAATAACGATTAAGCATATTATAAGAACTATATTTGCTTCTATGAATACATTAAAATAAAAAAGCTTACCTTTCAATTATGAAGAAATCGTCGGTTTATTTACCTTTTCCAAGCAAAATTAGAAACAAACACAGTCAGCACCGAACACAAACAAATACACGCGGTTTTGATTGATGATGCAATGGTTTTGAGAGCTCAGATTTTAACGCTCGAATACGCCCTCTATAGAAAGAGTTTAAGTGCATTTGGACTTGTGAATAATTTTACCAAATTCATAAGTTTATCTCAATTTTTCAAATACAAAATTATTATTTTCTCAGAAAGGAAAATATAAATAGAATAAACAACATCGAAAATAAATATATATGTAATATATTTTTGGTACAATAATCTATAAATTTTTTAAACATAAATTAATAATTTTCTTTAAAGGAAAAGGATATAAATTTTAGTTAATGATAATCATTATTATTACTGAAAATTATTTTAATTTTAAAACTATAAACATTATTTTTCAATTAAATAGCTTCTTTAAACTTAAATTGTCAAATATTTCGTGTTGGAATGAATGGATCAATGTGTTTTATAACATTTTCCATCTTGTAAAAGTTAGTTGAAAAACCAATTATTTTAATTTCAACTGCGCAACGTATATTAACAACAATGTTAAAAATCTTGCAATAAAAAAAAGCTGTTGCTAATTTTTTTAAAAAAATAATATGGGAAAGAATGGTGAAAGGTTTCATTATTTTAATATACACCAAAATGTTTTCATGTTTCAAAGCATACAATGATAACCAATATAACTTTTACTTATATTTAGTGGCATAGCTAGCAGTGAACAAGAGTATATCGCTGGTTCAAAATTAACGCACTTTTGCACTCACTTCTCATTCAAACGGCACTTATGTTTTCAGAAGCGTCGTTTTAATTTTGAACCAGCGATATGTCTCCAGTTGTAGCACAAGAGATGCGTCAATTTTTTTTATAACCCTCGTTGAACAGCCGACCCAATTTTTTGGGTTTACGACTACTAATGTTCAACTCCGTAGCCTTGTAATTTTGAATGCAGAAGACAAGGGAACTCCTGGATCCATTTGCGTTACATAGAGAGGAAGACCACGAAAACCTCCCACGGTTCGCCTGACGGCAAGGGGATTCTAACCCATGATCCGTCTACCATTGAGGATATTTCACGTCAGTACTGTGGTTGATTCAAGCCGGATGCGGAATTCGTTCGACTGGGATTCGAACCCGGTTCGCCTCATTGGAAGGCGAATGCTCTATCGCCTGAGCCATTGTTTCCCAAACTTATGACTTTTGTGTACCCTTTCTAAATTTTTCATAACGCTGTGTACCACTAATAAAAAAAAGGAATGTATTTTTTACCATAAAATTTTTTACCAAAGTTAAAAATCACAACTGGCTGTTGACACCACTAATCATTAACTGTTAACTCTGTAAAAAATAGCCAATAGAAAAATACGTAAATTTTCATGGCTAGCTTTGTTTTTAAATATATTTTTTGAAATCTTCATTTGCTGCAAGATATTTTGCATAAGAACGCGTACCCCCACTAAACTGTTTCCGTACCCCTGGGGGTACGCCTACCACACTTTGGGAAACACTGCCCTGAGAGTCATCATGGCTTGTTGTGCCAAATTTATATAAAAAATAAAATAAAAAGTAAACAAAAAATAAATAACTACATAATGTTCTGAATTTCTTTTCTCTAAATAAATAAATTTTTTAGGCTCTAAGCGAAATGATTGATTTAAAATGTTCTAAATGAAGTTAAATTGTTTCTCAAAAATTTAAAACTGAGTTGCTTCACTCAAATAAATAAAATAAAATTTTTTAACGATTTTGCTGTTAGCGATTCAAGAAAAAGAGTGATTGATTGGCTTTACTGAGAAAAAATAATTCATTGGATAGAAGTACAAAAGCTTTCAGAAAAAAAGTGTAAGATAAAATCAATTATTAAATTATAACAAATTATTTTTTGGAGAATTTTATAAAGTTAAAAATACCGAAACATTTTGTTAAAAGAAATAAAAAATATCCCAAAGCATCGGAACAATCTTGAACATTAAATGAAAATTTAGCCCACAGACTAGAAGATAAAAAACATAAAAACCCTCTTTTTATGAACCGAAGCAAATATACTAGCCCCTTCTTCCACCTCCCCTACAATTTTTGACTTTCCTAAACTGCTTAGTCCCATAATCTCCAAAGAAGTCAAAGATTTCTCCATTCATTTAGCAACATGGGAGAGTTTCATACGGCATTCTAGTTTAGTGAGGTAATAATGGAGAGAATTTTAATGAAGTATTGCTAAGTTGATGATATTTTAGCTGTTTGATAATAAATTTGCATCTGATTAAAGTGGATATAACAGATGGTAAAATAATTTAAATTAAGAAAAAATGCCAGCTTTTCTTAAAAATTCCCTGATTTTTATATAAATTTCCCTGATTTTTTCAGTATAAAAAAATTCCCTGATAATTCCAGGTTTTCAGGTGGGTGGCCACCCTGTAGTATTAATTTTCAAATGCACTGCATATAAGTCATAAACTGCAAAAATAATGGAAAACTTTGAAATAATTTATTGAATAAAAAATAAATATAACTGGAAATATCACATATTTTACAATTATATGCAAAAGGCAACAGATGAAATAAATTATTTCCAATTTAAATTAGTACACATAATGAAACAGTTCTTGCACTGTGAGTGATGGTAAAATGTTGTCATGATATTGTTATAAATTATTATCAAGCCTACTCTTCTGGCGGCTGTATCTTTTGTAAAATACCTCGATTACCATCCAAAATGACATAGTCTCCTAAAAAGGCAAAATTTGAAAAATAAGATAAAAATGAATAATGGCCATTTTATGCAAAAAATATGGATTAACATTATTATATAGGACATGGGTCAGGGGGACACATGTCCCCTAAATAATTTTCCTAAGCTTCAAAAAATTTTTAAAGTATTATATTTTAAAACCCCAACAGCTATTTTTTAATTTAAAACTTTAAAAGCCTAAAAAAATCAAATATTTTCGATAGTTAATAAATAATTGAAAGAAAATATTTTATGATCGTTACTTTTATGTAAAGGTTATCTCTTAAAAACCAGATAAATATTTTTTTTTAAAGTTGTCACGATTCGAAGTCAATGAAGCAAAATTGAAATATTATTTATTTAGATTATTTAGATAATTGAAGGTAGTGATATTTTAGTTTAGTTCATGCACAGTATAATTTTTTTTAACATTGTTACAATTAAACTTCAATGAAACAAAATTTAAGTACTATTTATTTAGATTATAACTGTAGATAGTGGCTATTTCACTTTAGTTTATGCACAATGTAATTTTTTAGTAGTGATTATTACTTATGAACACTTTATTTACATGATGCTTAAAAGTTTTTTAATATAATTTTCATTAGTTAGGAATAACGCTGTGTACCACTAA